CATCTCGGCCGCTCCAGAACCAACGGGAGGACGCTGCATGCGGTAAACCTGTTCCTTGGGTCGTTTAAGCGCTTGGCGGGCATCCAGCAAGACAGCATCCAAGGTCTTCCCTCCCAAAGAGGCCGAAGCCGCTTGTTCGGTCGGCGCAATAGTCGGCGTGGGGCCAGTAAACCATCCGTCCACTGCCGAGTGCAATAAACCAGAGCCTAGGTACTCGGCAACTTGCAAGGGATCATGCATTGGGTGCTCGGGTTGTGCCTGCCCGTCTTGGACAGACAAGCGCTGCGCCTCTGCGTGCACTGAGCGGCTTGATCGCATGAACAGGAAGGTGCACTTACCCCAGCGAAGCCAAATCATCATTCCATCGAACGACCAGCGTTCCTCAAGGATGTGGGTCGCAAGCCCCTGGCTCAACTCGATCATTCGAAGTACCGCCGAGATGCATTCGTCCACCTCCGTCTTTCGAACCTCGAAGTCAGAGTAAACCTCCTCCCTGCAAAGAATGTCTCAGTGGACAGTCACATGCATCGGACATCAGCATACCACACCGTCCAGCCCTTGAGTTCTTCCAGCAGCACCACACACCTTTCACACGCCGGCACAATACGCTCGGCAATGTTTCGCTCCATCAGCTTGAACGCGTTCTGCACTGTAGAGTTCCAACTCTCCCAGGCCCGTTCCGTCAAGAGCCCCAGGAATTCTACCATGCTGGGCCTTGGGCGCCCAGTGCAGAGCAGGGCGACAAGATCGAACATCGCGTTGGTCTTTCCCTCCCCTTTCTTCTCCAGTGTTTGATACCACCTGGCCCCTATGTCCTTTGCTCCCTCTAATCCGTCCGAACCCATCCACGCCTTGGTCATCTCGTCGACTGCTTGCTGAATTAGCACAAGCAAGTCGCGTAGAAGTGACGATATCGTCGCGGTGGTGCGTAGCGAGCGCGTGGTAAGAAGGGGCAACATGAGGCTAGCTCCTCCGACATAGTGCGCCTCCTCCCCACTTGAACCATCGCCACGGCGGAACGAGACCATGATGATACGCTGGTCCGTAATCATATGCACTGCATATGGCACACAGTCGCCTCCAAGGCTGAAGTACCCAAGTGGATAAGTGCCATTGAGGAAGAAGTGAAGGACACCCGCGTCATCAGAAATGACAAGCAGACTTCCGTCGTTCGCGCGGCTGCGAATCGCCTCGTCGTCCTTGAGCCGGGAACTGGGCGTATTTTGCACTCGCTGGGGTTGTATGCTGGCATCTAATGGGTCGACAAGCAGCGAGGGAAAGGCAAGAAGATGGGCCGGCAGAGTTGAAGCTTGGGAGGCGGTTTTGTCTCTGCTTAAGGAGAAGATACTATCCGTTCTGTCTCGCACATTGAGTATATGCACTGTACATCAGTCCGCAGGACGACTCACTTGATCTCCCGCACTGGTGTAAGATACGGCATAGTACGCAGCAAGCTTTGTGCTGATCCAACCTGTAATACAGGTCAAATGAGGACTTCGTCAAAGCCATTGCTGATGACACACTATGGGATCCTCTTTCTTTGGCTTCGGCATCGTCTTCGACGGGCCGTCGTCCTCTTTCTCTTGCTCCTCCTGCTCCTCAAGCCACCAAACATTCTTCAACCTAGTGGGGGACGTTCTCTCTGGTCCTTTGCCTTTTCCAGCAGGGTCGGGTGTCTGGTCGAATGGCACTACGAGAGATGCAAGCTCGTGGCCGTCGTTCACCGAGTGCAGCGTAAGACGCGCGGGCTCTCGCGCGATCATCAAGAAGTTGCCTATACGCATGTAAGCAAATGCCTAGCCCGACATGAAATCCCACTCGCCATCTGGACTCCATGCGAGCTCGACAAAACGGTCCTGCTTGCCCAGGCTGAGGTCCCAGACCTTCGAACCTGTCGCCTTCCAGAGCGAGACGCGATCTACTCCTTCGTGCTCCGACACCAAGACAAGCAGATCCTTGGTTGGGCAGAATGCATTCCTCGGTAGCCGAGACGCAGATGACAGTGAGAATGATGATAGAGAGGTGAATGTGCGCTGCGCCGGAGATGGTGCAGACATGGCAGCCCCGACTGGAATTTGGGACGAGAGGCGCGCGTACACTAAGGGTCGCGCGTTCGCCGCGGCTCCGGCTCCAGCCCGAGTTTTACTTTGACCGTGACACTGCCTATTCTTCGAGCTGAGCACTCCATCATTGTGGTTGATATTCAGTCCCATCTTATTCGAACTATCCTTGTGGATGTTCTGTACAAGTCTATCAACGGTGGTGTGTGACTCATGCAGGCTAGAAGCGCAACGAGATACATTGCATCTGCTGAGCACTCCGAAACGAACACTGGAACAAAATACAGGGAATCGCACTAATCAAATAACGCAAGGAGGTTCACCCAAGGTGCGGAAAAGCTCAGTAATGCGGCTGTTGATAATCCATCTCAATTATTTGATTGTAACGAGGGAGTGCATTGGGTACATACACGGTATTCCCAGCGCTATTGCCAAACAGCTCGATCTTCTTACCGGCATCGACGCTGGACTGCTTGAAAGCGCGTCGGAAGTCAGCCGGAGTCGCCTGGCCAATACGCTGAGCAATGACGAAGGACAGGACGAGATCGGCGCCATCAAGTGACTTGATCTGGAGGTTGTAGTGCTTGCCCTCGGGAGTGAGCTAAAGTGATTCCGAAGGTCAAACTTTGGTCGAGAAACGCGGCAAGCAACATACAGCAACCATCTCGAGCTTGTAGCTCTCGTTCTGGAACAGCGTGCTCTCGGTATCTGGCAAGCTGCGGAACTTGACCGCAGGAATTGTGTCGATGAACTGCGTGAGAGTAGCCATTTCGGTTGTCTGAGTTGGATGGGCTGAACGTTTGAGGGGAGGGGATGGACCGAATCGGCAAGTTTACCACGGTTCTCTTTATACCTGACACAAAACTGCCTCGGCAGTGGCACCTCAGAATGCAAGTTTCTGGCGACTGGCTGCCTGAGCATCGTCAGCGGACCGCAGGCGATGCTTTTCCATGGTCAGCGACATCAAGTCCGACAACCCTTATTTGTTTGCGGGGCATGGGCATCCGTTTCGGCAAAGTTGACATGCCCAACAAATGCGATGCGCGGCGTCGACACAACGCAATTCATAACGTGAGCGAAAGCGGTGTTGGGCGCCCGCCTGAATCCCTGTGAAAGCCCCTGGATACGAATAGGCCGAAGCATGGCCAATATGAACGGAGAATATTCCGGTGCGTTCTGCACTAGACGTAAGACATCCAGGGTCGTTATGACTTACGGTAACCCATTGCGGTCGCTTGAGCAGGCGGCACGAAACCTGCCCCGTACCTCACCGGTCACATGATGAATATTGCAATTCGACAACATACTATCCGGAATCGCTCAAGTACCCAAACGGAGAGGTCGTTGTCTTGGCAAACACGACGCACTGGCATCACGGAGAGCGCAAACCATAATGGAACGGGCGCCTGGTCGTGCGCCCCTAACGCGCCGGCATCACGCCCTGAGTCTTTTGCGGTCGCGTACCGCGCACCCCGCACCTCATGGGCAAGCACCTTCTTTCCTCACGCTTCGTGGCTGCAAGGGCTATGCCCTAATTGAGCGGATTTCCCGCAGAAGCACGGCACACGCAGTCGGATGGCAAGGGTGAACCTGGGTTGCGGCATATTGAACGCACGTGAATGCACTTCTTCGCACCTCATGCTAGCGACGGAAGCGCGACGGCGGGAGTCTCGGACCGGCTTTGTGCACAAGGAATCGCCCGTCGTGAGCATTGACGGTGGATTGCTGTCGCCGCCCCGCAGCTCTGCTGGTGCTTACGCTTGTTCCAACGCCCGTCCGCTTTCCCAATGGCTGTTTGTCCACACTCTGAGGAGCAGGAAACAGTTGGTTTCCGACGAAGCCCGACGCGGTTTGGACACATGCAGACGGCGAGTTTCTCCGCAGCGCTGTAAGCGTACAAATACGGTTCTGTAGTAGCCTCGGGACAACATCAGCCTCATTACACTCATGCGACAGTTTCAATGTGGAAAATGATGCACCGGAGGCGAGCAGCACAGTCGGATGCTGGGAGCCACAGTGATCAACATACACTTGCCTGTAACGTCGCACAGCCAAGCCGCAATAACGCAAGACAGTGCATAACATGTACCACGCGACTGTTAGCGGGCCCTCTGCGTTGAAGCATCCGAGCATCGGAATAGTCCAACGTGTCATTGTTGTACAACATACAATCCTGGGTATTCACTCCACCGACCCGACGGTCTAATCGTACTACACCGATGTCAGCTCGACGTCATTGAAAGGGCTGAGAAGCGCACGATAACCCGCTCTGGTATCCCCTCTTCTGGCAAGTGCGCATCACGTTTCTGCTTGTCCAACGTCGCACTAAGCTTCCCTGCTTTCGGATTACTTGCGTGTACACCGCGCGCGTTGGCCTAGTGCACCCGTGAACACATGAGTGCTGCCCTTCAGAGCCCAAGGATGCCCACTCACCGCCTTAGCCCTCTCCTCCGCCGCCCGAGCCGCAGCCTCCCGTTGCGGTACCGACATACCGGGCTTTCCTGTCGGCTGCTGCGTCGTGCTGAGCTTGCGTGCAGGTTGTGTACTCTGCTGCTGCTGCGGGGCCGGAGCCGACCCTCCTCCTAAGCGGTGCCCTTGAGGTGCAGGCTCTGCACGCCCTCCAGGGGCGGAGCCGAGAGCCTGTCCTTCACCGGGCATTTTTGGTCGTGAGCAGAGGGCGCCCATAGTATGAGTATGAGATGAGATGAGGATTGAAGGAAAGAGAAGGAGGTGAGCGAGGCTGTTGGGACGAGTACGCCAAAGGCTGCTGGGTTACAACCGTGACAGGGCCCTGACGAGTTTCGGCCGGGAAGCGAGTCCCTTGTGTCCCAGCTCCGGCATCGCTTCCGTACCCACGCATCTTCTACACAGCCACATAAGGGTCTACCTACAGCAGAATTTTGAGATACGATGTAATTTTTGGCCTCGCACTTGTCTTCCGGTCGAGTGGCGCAATTGGTTAGCGCGTGGAGCTAATAGACCATGTTCCTTGTAACTCCAAGGCTGCGAGTTCGACCCTCGTCTTGACCAGAGTATCCTTTTCCTGCGCTCCAATTGAGGTTGGAATCGTCCTCTTTCCGACCTTTACCGACGGCCGGAAGGTCCCTAGACCGCGTGGAAAGATTCCATCGATACCCGCAGCACCAGGCGGCTAGAACTGCGTAGATCCTGTCAGGACAATCCGCTCTCCAGTGGGTGCAGAGCGCCATGCCGCGGGCGTGGACTGCTGCGGCGTACTCCACGGAGACCCGGGGCGGCGGTGCACCACTCACCTCCTCCGCAGGGCTGTCGCGACGGCCGAACGGCAAATGATCTGCACAGATCGGCGGGTTCGGACCAGCGGTCATTAGGAATCAGGGATTCCAGATGAATGGCGCTGGCTGCGAGTGGAATTGCGGGGTATGCCGCTGAGTCAGCGTCGGCGGCGTGTCCCGAGGTGGACTGGGGAAGGGGTGGACTTACATATATGGTCTTCCGCTCCGCCCTGGGGGAACACCCCCCCCTTCCCCCACGAACATTTCATCTCTTAAACCGTCTGTCATTGCATTTCCCATTTTGCATTCCCAATTCCCAATTCAAGCGACTCCAATTCCAGCGAAGCCATTCAATTCTTAACAATGTCACTCCCGCTCGCAATGGCCAAGGCATTCCTAGGCGGTACGTCCTCATCCTCTTGCCAAGCGCAGCTGACTGATACCATTTCTCAGGCGCAGGCGGCTTCATCGCCCTCCGCACCATCTCGAACCAGCTGGCACGAGAGACGGTGCAGCGCGGCGCCCAAGGGGTGCAGAGAGCATCGCACGTCGCCGAACGGTCACATCATCACCCGCTCGGTCTTGCAATGGACGAGAATGAACACATGATCATGAGCGATATTGTCGGATGGAGGTCATGAGCTGGCAGAGAGATATGCGACAGAGGTCACAGAGTGGATGGCCGAGTAAATGAGGAGACGCAGTGCCCCACCATGATCTGCGACCAGGTCTTCGGGGAATGACAAGCACCATGTCCTCCCTGTCCACAACGATACGACCGAGAGCAGGGCGTTGGGACAGGTGCTTGATGCTTCGAAGCAAAGGAATCGAACGAACGATGTTGTATTTGTATGCCAAGGTGTCGTTCTCTGTTGTAATACTGTACGTTACCCATGTATGTTATGGATACCCAGGATCAATCTTGTTTATCCCTTCTCACCTACGTTTCATCTGGTTGCAACCCTGTGGCCGGCCCTCCCGGCGCCTTATTCGATGATGCCTTCCTTCTGCAACCTGGCGACCTCATCCCTCCATCCCCACTTCGGCTCATACCCGAGCACCTTACGCGCCTTCTCGATGCTCAGCAGTGTCTGGTTCTCCCCTCTGCCCGGGATGGGTTCATACGGCACGTCCGGGTAGACTGCGCGTACGAGCTCTGCAGAGGGTGTACGCATGCACGTCTCGGACGAGGTGATCAGGAAGACGTTGTGCCCCGGGAGGTTGGTGGCGAGTGCGAGCCGGATCGCTTGTGCGCCGCTGTGCATTGTCAGCCCACGGCATAGGCGAAGCGGCGGTCGGCTCACTCTCTGGCGTCGACGTGGCTCCAGCAGCTGTCATCGTGTGAGCGAACTGTACGACATCGGCCAAAGAGCTACGCACTTCCCCTCCGGATACGTCTTGGGATCATGCTGCCAAGTCGGGAAGTCCGCATATTCCTCCGGCGTGCATATCTGCAGGTCTCTCAGCATCACAGAACTAGCCGATCGATGCCACCGCTGGCACAGCGCACCAAAGAGAACCTCAAACTGGTCACACTCAGCTGTGGGTCCCACCGCACATACTGCTCCGCGATGACCTCGCCCACGAGCTTGCTGAGCGTGTACGCGCTTTCCGGTCTGCGCGGGCTGGATTCCGTGAACGGCAGGCTGTCGGGCGGGTGCGGGTCGAGTGGGAGCCCGAGGAGCGTCTCGCTCGAGGCGAGCACGAGCTGCTTGATCCCGATCTGCCGGCAGGCTTCCAGGACGTGATACGTCGAGAGGGCGTTGTTCCGGAACTGGTGGGAGGAGGCGGTCTGCCCGATCACCGGGAGCGCAGCGAGGTGCACCACCGCGTCCAGGCCCTTGTATTGCTGCGCTCTCCTTCAGCCATCACTTCCGGTCCACAGGGAGAAGCACGCACAGAGTCCACCTCCCGCAGCGCCTCCGCAACCTGCCCAAAGTCCGTCGTCTCCACCAAGACGTACCTGACGCCCTGCACCGGCAGGCGCGGGGACACCCGGTCGACGACGACGACCTCCCATCCATTTGCGTAGAGCTCGTGCACGGTGGGCTGGCCGAGCTTGCCCAGCCCGCCGGTGATCGCTACGCGGGGCTTTCGCTGTCCAGAGGGAGTTTGGGGCTCGCCGAGCGCGTGGTGGGATGTGAAGGAGGCGACCATTGAGGTCAGAGGTCAAGCAGATTATGGCGCGCCCTCTGCGACCGCCTGTTTGGCCCGGGGAGGAAGGAGCACGTAATCACATATGGGAAGTGCCAGCAAGAGGGCCAGGATCAATGTCCTCAAATCGCAAGCCAGCAGTTCATGGTGACGAAGCAGGAAGAAGAGGCGAAAGGGGTCCTTGCTCAGTTTCACGAAGCTGACGTCCATCCTCTGCTTCTGGGCGATTGGGCTACCCGACCACAGAGGATATTTTTGAGGATGCCATATGTACCTGTTCTCTCAGTAACAAAATGTCGAACGCACAACGAATCATTACGAAAAATCATCGCATTACTCCCGTATCCTACAAACGAATGCAAACCAACCCTCCCAAAGCTACTGTAAATCCTGAATCCAATTGCTACAAAATCATGTTTTCCCAGGCCTCCTCCTCCTCCCACCGAAATGAAGCGAGCCCACCCATGAGGGAGTTTAATACAAAAAGCAAAGCAGCAAAGCCAAGCGCCGAGCAGTGTCCGTGCTCTAATAGAAGGAGCGTAGTGTAATGGCCGATCCACAGCTCGTTACTGTCAGGTATTTTCGATTTTAGATCCTTAAAGCGGTCCTTTTTTTCTTTCGCGTCCAGATGGGGGGGTGTATGCGGCCAGAGTCGGGGTCGAAGATATGCGTGTGCTCCAAAGTCGCGCACGATCACTCCTTCCTCCCCCCCTCCTCCGCACTCTCATAAGCGTCGCTCTCCGTCTCGACCTCAACGCGCACGCCTTCCCTAGGCATCTTGACGTCCACACCCTGCTCCCTCGCCCGTCTAATCTGTACAATCTGCCCGTTCGGGCTCGCTTCGAGGTCCACGACCCACTCCTGCTGCTCCTGCTGCTCCTGGTCCCTGGCCGCCGCGCTCGCAGATTCGAAGGAGAACGCCTGCGGGGGGGTGAGGCGCGAGGAGGGGAGCGTGCTGCAGTCCTCCTGTTCTCCCTGCTGGGGGCGGGAGGGGGCGGTGCGCGGGCGCTGGTTTGGGTGCACGAGCCGGGAGATTGTCCGACGGAGGGAGTGGACTGCGCCTGCTGTGCGCGGGCGAGGAGGGGTGATGTGTGCTGGGAGCTCGTGCGACGCTGGGCCGTGGGCTTGGAAGGCGCCTTGCGCCAGGGGAGGAGTGTACCGCTCGTACCCCTGCAGAGCGAGGGTGAAGTCTGCCGGGAGGGTGGAGCGGATGCTCTCGAACGCGCTCTGCTGGGAGGGGGAGTCGAACGACCGCAGGATGGCTGCGCGCAGGAGGGCGGTGGGGTCGTGTGCCTCGACGGGGGCGTCCTGGGTGTACATGGGCAGGTCGGACTCGAGCTGCGCGCTGGACTTGGCGGTGATGTCGATCACGCTATCCTGGGAGGAGGGGTTGGAGGAGGGGTTGGGGGAGGGGGGCACGCCGGATGCGGATGCGCCCGGGGCGGGGCGGTCGAGCGAGGTGGACATGAGCGCGAGCTGCGCGGGAGAGTGATAGTGCGCTGGCAGGGGGTTGGGGCCCCGCTGTGTCGTGGCGGCGAGCACCGCCGTGCACAGCAGGAGGAGCGTTACCCAGAGCAAGTCGCATCCCGCGCGGGCGATCGCCAGCCCCGCGCTTAGCTCTGTATCGGCTGGCTCGAGCGCGCGGGCGAGGGAGAGAGCGCGCCCGACCAGGCCGAAGAAGTGCGCGATGAGGGCCGGGATGAGAATGGGCCGGTGGGGGGAGAGATGCAGGATGCTCTGCAGTGGGAGGAGGAGGGCGAGCATCTCCGTTCCTGGTCCGGCGGCGAGTGCGCCGGAGGGGATTGGGAGACTCGGGGCGAGGGAGGAGGAGACGAGGGTGAACAGGCAGGAGACGAGGAGGGCGATGAGCAGCAGGCCGACGCGGTAGGAAGAGCGCTTGCGCGGCCAGTACGGCTCGGGAGTCGCTGTGCGCGAGATGCGCAGGGTCGGCTGGAGCGTCGCGCAGGAGGGGAAGATGTGGTTGAGCGAGGTGGGCGTGAGAAGGAGGATTGGGGTGAGCCCGGCTGGAAGGCGTTAGCTACCGCGTTGAGCTGCATGCATGTGTGCTTACCGAAGAAGACACCGAGGACGTTGAGCACGCCTGCGGAGCGGCTCAGTGCACTCGCGTCCGCGTCCTGCCTAGCAGCAGCGGCGATTGCGCAGACCGCGCCGGCGCCAAAGGACACACCTGCGGTCACCGCAGGGGCGATGATTGCGAGCCCGGCGCGGGAAAGGCGCGTCGCACTTCTCCATAGGCGCACGGTGGTGTGCCTGCTCGCGTAGCTTCCCGGCCTCGCGCCGGACGGAACGGCCAGACGGTCCTTCTCCTCCGATGGAAGGAGGAGGGAAAACCGCTGGTCTTGCTGTGCTGGCTGGCGCGGGTAGAGGAGTGCGAGTGCGACGAATGCGAGTGCCAGCGGGAGGAGGGGGATGAGGATGAGCGCCGGGATGGCGGGGAGGAGGGCGAGCGTGGGCGCTGTTGACATCTCTGAGGGTGTAAGGGTAGGAGGCCTGTTGTGGTGGGGGTTGCGTAGGAGGCGTGGGCGGCTCACCCCAGGACAAGAGGGGTATTTAACCAGGAATGCCCGGCCCACCAGGACAAGCTTCGATAGCGGCGCACTC